TCCTGTAAAAATTAACAGCCTTGGAAACCCTGTACAGGGTCGCTATGAGTTGGAACTGACTCCATGGCACTTAACAACAACAACATACCTACCTGAACAAAAAGGTCATTGCCTAGCTTTGACTATCAAAGCATGCTTTCTCAATACCTAGCCAGACAACTTGTTAATACCTAAGTTTTGTTGAAAAAGAATTGAGGAAATCAGAATTTCCAAGGCCACTATTTACTTATCAACAGTTGATTGATCTAAACTTCAAGGATGGCTATAAACAATGGATAAAGAGAATTACAATAAAGAGAATTACAACTGGCTGAACTTAATTTATGGAATAACTATAAACCATGTTGTTGTTAAGTGCCATGAAGTAAGTTTGGACTCATAACAATTTGGTATAGAGTTTCCAAGGCTTTAAATCTTTTACAGAAGCAGAAAGCCTCATCATTCCCCCCACAGAGTGGTTGGTGGAGTCAAACCGCTGACATTGTAGTTCCTAGTCCAATATTTATCCTACGGAGCCATTGCATCACCTGACTGTAAGCCATAAAGGAAAAAAATTCAGGATGTGGCATAAACTGACCCAAGTTAAAAGGCAATAGAGCAGTTTTGAGAAAAGAAGAAAGAGAAATTCAAAGCATAAAGCACATTCACAAAGTAAGAGGTCAGATACTAGTGACCTGTCTTTCTCTCTTCACAGGCACTGGAAGCAAAAACACTCATATATCCATAGGAAAACTAAAAAATATTGAATCTAGTCATCTCCTTCCTCCAAGAATAGCCCAGAGATAATGCAGGCATCCAGGAGAAACCCCATTTTGGCAAATAGAATACCAGTCCCAAAGATGCCTATATTCTAAGCCTCCATATCCATAGGACCTGTGACTATATTACCATGCATGTTCTTCCCTCCCTATGAATCACTAATTGTTTTTGTTGTTGCTAAGTGTCATTGAGTTGGATCCAACTCATAGTGACCCAGTATAAAGTTCCCAAGGAGCAACTGGTGGGTTTGAATGGCCATCCTTGCAATTAGTAGTTCAATGCTTGTCCTGGAGTGAAATCTGCTGAGTCCATTCAAGTGCAGATTAAAAACAACTTAAAATTCCTCAATACCCCCTTAGACTTGAGACCATAAAAGGATGGTGGTTCATTATCAAGGATTTCTTAAGGAGGATCAATAATCCTCTTCATCAGTCCTTGTAATACTCCCGCATTCCTGTGAGAACATCTAGCAATCAGGATGGGAGATTTGGTCAAGATTTAAGAGCAATCTATTGTAATGACTACTCTCCATGTCTTATTAGTTAGCATACCTGGTGAAATAATATGTAGTGCATATATTAGTGTATATATGTATATATATATAGTGCATTCTTTAGCATCCTGGTACATCATATTAGATTGCTTTTACTTAGAATAATCAGCAATTTACTTGATTGTCATGTCCCAAGGTTTTAAGAGTCCCACCATTATTCTCAGGTTCTTCATGCAGATTTACAACACCTGCAATTCCCTAAGAAATCAATATACATATCACTTTACTTGGCTCAACAAATTGCACTGATTGTATTTCTAATGGCATTTATTTGCATGCCCATTACTCATAAGGAATATAACACTTCTGTTCTGTAGTGAATTATTCTTCTAGACATAGTCTTTGTAACTCCAAATGGCTGAATGAGGCCATGCAAATAGGGTCTATGGAATTCTAATGTGAGAATTTGTTCATTCTGCCATCCCATTAGGTATAAAATCAGCCATCTCAGAAGCAGGAAAAGGAAATCCTCTACCATCAAGAAAAGAGAGTCAGGAGCAAAGTAAGTTCTTTGGACCCTGAGATGCTTACACACTGAGGAAGTCAGTCCATCACTAAGTCAGATCTTTGACACAAGAGTGGTGGAGAAGCAGCAGCAGCAGGGTTGGGAGCAGTAAGAGTACAAGACAGAGTGGCAGGCTTGCTGCCCATGGACTGAGAAAGCTGAGTGCCTTTAAGCAAGAGACTTACTTATAGAGTGAGGTACTTCAGGGATCCAGTTTTGATAATCCATGAAGCTAGAGCTAAGCATCTTATGGTAGAGTAGTATGCCATTTGGGTACTTATCAGCAGCACTAAAGGAGCTTTGTAATGTTGCCCAACTAGGACAAAAGCCAACGGGCTGTGTGGCTGAGAGGCCAAGGAGCAAAATGAAGCATATCTGGTCATGGCTTAGGAGAAGTATTTTTGACTGGAAGAATCGTTTCTGAACATTTCTGATCCTGAATTTTAACCTAATAACTTCTCTAATAAATCCCATAATCATATTTTCTGTGAGTTCTGTGTGGTCATTGCAATTAGTTATTGAACCCAACAGAAAAGCAGAATGTCTTGGGAGGTTTGTGTCTGAATTGGCCTTAAGCTGATGTTGAGTTTGATTTTCATTCACATTTGTGAACTCAGAGGAAGTTAGATGTAGCTCCCATACTGTTCTTGCAGCTTCTAAAGAAAAATTCCAGCTGGCCCTCTACTCCTTAAATATTTGAGTCACCTTCTTTCTGCCAAAGGTGTCACATTAAACCCCAAGTGGAAAACAGCAATTCTTAATTTCCCATCTCCTAAAACCATGAGGCAATTGAGAAGATGTTTAGGGTAGTACAGCTATTCTTCAACACAGATTCCAAATTTTTCATTAATGATTCTTCCCTTATATAAATTATTAAAGAGAAAGGACCCCCTGATTCGGGGTATAGATCAGAATAACTCTATTGATCATTTTAAATTTGGTCTGCACTCTGTTCTCTGTTCTGGAGTGCTAACACAAAAACATAATGATTAGCAAAGACCAGAAGGGTATTATAGTTTACAACTAGATCCAGTGGATTGTTCCCTACTCCCTTCAGTTATAAACTACAGAAACCACTGGAAAATCAATAGAAAATACTTCTGATATTGGGAAGTACTGTTTGGTTTTGTTCTACAGGCAATCAAAGATTTGTTCAATTCTGGAGTACTGCATCACATATCCACCTATAAAGCTGTTCTGCTTTCCTCTCCTCCTGTTCATAATCACATATAGCATGTCAAAACCTGAAACCAGACACTTTATTTCCTTTCATGAACACATCAATGCATGACTGTCTAAATCTAACTCCCAGGACTGATATACAAGAAACTCCTTTAGAGAACACTGACCTTGTTTTGGTTGTAGCTAGGTCATATCTTAAACATCCCCCAATCTCCTACAAATTTCACACTAACTATGCCATAATCTTCCCTACTAAAGTAACAAAAGTAGGACCCCTCCCTAAAGCCACCTTGGCCTACAAGCAGAGCTGTAGGCTCTGACTCAAGCCTGCATATTAGTAAAGGGTCTAATAACTCAATTCAAAACACTATCATCAAGTCAATTCTGACTCATAGCAAACCTATACAGGGTTTCTGAGACTCTTAAGTATTTACAGGAGCAGACAGCCTCATCTTTTTACTGCAAATCAGCTAGTGAGTTTGAACCGCCACTCTTGAAGTTAGCAGCCCCACACCTAACCCACAGCACCACCAATGTCAACATTTATTCACACAACTGATATGTCATTGGATTTATTCATGCTTTTGGACTATTATGAAAACAAAGGGGGGTCTTCAACATCAGCTGCACTGAAACTTAAAATAGCCAATTCATTCAGGAACTACTGAATGCATTGTTACTACCAAAAGCCTTGTTGTTGTGGTTGTTAGGAGCCATCAAGTTGGTACCAGGTCACAGTGACCCTAGCACAGCAGAACACAACACTTTCAGATCCTGCAACAATCTCACAGTCGTTGCTCTGCTTGAGCCCATTGCTGTTGCTACTGTGCCAATCCATCTCATTGTGGATCTTCTTCTTTTTCTCCAACTTTCCACTTTATGTAGTATGATGTCCTTTCTGAGGGGCTGGTCCCTCCTGATAATATGCCCAAAGTACGAGAGACAAAGTCTGGCCATCCTGTCTTCTAAGGAGCAGCCATTATTAAAATATAAACTAACCAAAAGGAGCTTACTTCTGCAGAATTAAAATATTGTACTAAGTATTTTCCATTCATCTACTACAACAGTGCTCATACCATTCTAAATCTTATGGAATGGTAGAGAGAACACACTCAGTTAAATTTTGTAGTTCTTTAGATCTTTCCTTAGTTTCACTGAATTCCAGGTCAATTCCCTTTGGAAAACATAAACTCACAATCTATGAAATTGTTATCAGGAAAACCCATGAACTTGCCTCATATTAAATTTATAGCTCCAAATAGTTAAATAACCATTGTTAACTTATTAGATCCTGTCAAGTTAGCTCCAACTTTTAGCAGTCCTATGCACAACAGAACAAAACATGCCTGCGCTACATCATCATACAGTTTGTATCCATTTTGCTATTTGAATGGTATATTTAACCCCTTTACATTTAGTGTGATTTATTGAGAGGTATGCATTGATTGTTATCATTTTGCTGTGTGCTTTTTTCTC